TTCTCACCACACACAGAGGCAAAGACAAGACGCTAAAGGTTCCTGCAAATGCACACACTGGCAACAAATGCAGAGGCTTTCTTTAATGATTTTTTTCTCCACACGCACACACACACACACACACACACACACACACACGCTTGTATGCATACAGTATTGGATTGTTCACTGAGGGTCACCGGGTTTATTGGTGGGCAGGACAAGAGGCTGCAGAGCCGCACTGAGCACATGTTTAACAGAGTAGAGGCAACACAAAGTGTTTCAGCCTGGTTAAACAAACAGCTTTACTGCAATGATTGCTTTATTATGTTCATGAGCAAACCTGGCACAACATGTGCTTTGTTTTGGATATTATCTCATGAAAAGGATATAGATAGTAAAATGATTGACAGTGCCTTTTTGTACCATACAACCATAATGCATTTGTATCTTTGTTTGGACTGTTTCCATCTGTCTGTCTAAAACGAGTATGTTCATATTTGAGACATGCACCTTGTTTCATCCTTGCATCTGTCTGTTTGTTTGAAACCTGTTCCTTTGTCTTTGCAGTCATTGCCACACACACACACACACACACACACGCACACACACGCTCCAAGGCAGGATGGTGTTAAGTTCAGGTTCAGGGTGTGTTTGGGTGTCGATCGTAGTACTAACTGTAAGGTATACAATCTGAGTCATACCTCCTGACTTTCGGCACGTGCAAGTCGGCACGAAGAGCCCAGCTGGGGAAGGCCTACCCCTCCTCACTGCTACTCACAAAGAGAAAGGGAGGAGTGGCTTGGGAGAGAGAGGAGAAAAATGGAAAGGTGGTGTTGGGTGATGGGGTGGGGGTCTGTTGGGCAGGGTGGAGCTGCTTTAACATAATGAGGAAGGAGGAGGAGGAGGAAGAAGAGTAGGCGGGTGCTGTTTTTAAAAGGCAGCTCTTTGTGCTTGACGTTCGGGACATGAAAAGAAGGAGAGGAATGTAAATCAATATACAGAATATGTTGGGTCTGAGACAAAGAGAGTGGACGTGACAGGCAGAAGGGAGATGGATAGGAAAATCATAAAAGAGCACTGTGTACTACTACCTGCCGGGTGTGCCAAGTCATGAAAAAGAGCTGAGCAGTCAAATCTGATTGGACAATGACATAATCATTAACAGAGTCACAGTTGTTTCAAATACTAGACCTGTTTTGTTTTCAGGTGAAACACATCACAGCCTTAATGATTACGTGATGAGTTTTTTTGGAGACGGTATTTAGGGTTTAATCATAAACTGCTCATACTTGCGAGGAGAAAAACAGTAAAGCCAGAGAACCCTTCCTCAGCTCTGCACAGTGGCTGGTTGCCAGCCTTGTCTCTCTCAGGACCTGGGCTAAGATTAGCTTCCCATATGTTCAAGTCAGGCGTAGCCCGGCTTAAAGGGACAGTACTCACTAGTACACTATGAAGCTCCTGTGTTGCTTCACATACACTAAATCATCCAGATTCACACTCAAGGTCAAAATATATTTTTTATGTATCAATTGAAGGTTCGTTGAAGATGATGGCTGGATGATGTTTTGTCCTTTTTCAGAACTGAGTCCTTGGCGTGGATTTCTGAGCTACTACTAGTTTTCAGCCTGGTCTTACACCATAATCAGGCCGATCCTTTTTTTGGAGAGCCACCACTGCATTCACATGAATGTACTACTGTTGTTTCAGAAATCAATATTTTCATGTGCCTGTTTCAATTGTGTGTGATGTAAAACTCCAACAGCTGTGGCACTGTGTTGCATAAAACCTGGCAGCGTGGGGCGGCAGTGGGATTCAGGATTGTATAAACTGCGCGCCCGGTGGGAGCAGCACAGCAGCCACCAGAGAGGTGAGAGTTAAAGAGCCCGAGCAACAGCTGACGGCTCCTCCCCCTTCTCTTTCCATTCATTTTTTATTAACTGCGGCACCGGGCGGCTGACAACCTCCCTCCGACATCAACCACAGATCCCACCAACGATGCCAGCGAGCCGACTACCGCAACTCGCCGTGCCGTGCAGGGTATCGAACCGGCGCAGGACTCCAAAGTCCAGCCATGTTCACTGGCACATGCAGGATTATAAGCAGTGTGGAGGGAGAAATGAACATCTGCTAACTGTAATTAATTAGAGATGAAACATGACAACAGTGCAGAGCTTCTCAAGTCCCTATACATTAATGATTGTTGGTGACTATATACATTCAAATGTCACGTGAAATCCCATGAGGATTTCCAGCATGCGATGTTTTCAAGTCTTTGTATCTTTGATAAAATGCTTCTCTTAGAACCATTAAAGGAAGCCTTTAAGTTACAACCACTCGCACCTCTACACTGTGAATACACGACTGTTCAGAGCCTTGTAGCAGCCGACACTTCCTGGGTTTACATGCAGGGCTGCAGCCGAGGTTAAAATGGGTAAATGAAGTCAGTCACCTTTTTAACTGCAGACAACGCTTCACCTGGAACCTTTTTCATAAGATCAGCACTACCGAGGACAATTCTTTAAAGCTACAGTAGAGTAAGTAAGTTAAGGACACAGAATAAATGAACGCTTTTCAGGACATTTAATACTTTTGGCAGCAAGATTGTTCACACGAGACAATGACATATACCATCCATGACCAAGAAATAAATAAGGCTTTCTTCTTCTTCTTCTTCTTGTTACTGTGTTGACCTCTTGTTCAGCTCTGTTAGAGCTCTCAGAATACTTTTTTTAGACAGTATTACAGGGGAAAACAATGTGTCAATTCATGATTGGAAAAACATGAGTTGAAGTCAAGACCAAGACAAACACGACTTCAAGATCAAAAGGAAGATCTGTGCTAAACGGGCTGGAGCGTCAACGTGAGAACCAAAACCCCGACTACTGGTACAATCATCGTGTCACGCTCACATTTACATTAACCATCAGATCGCAAGCGTGTGTCAAAGCACGAGGGAAACAGAGCTGCTCTTCTTTACTGACTGAGTGGAAACCTTACAGAGCAGTAAATACATCGAAAGCCAACGCTGAATGGAAGAGGTGATGTCAAACCCTCCACTTCCTGTACTACACAAATACACACATATGCACACATGTGCGGTGCCGGCTAGTTGGTCACGTGACCAAACCTTGGATGCCGGACTTGAGCTAAAATTAAAGCAATGATGACATCAGACATTCAGTGTTGCCACGGAAACTAGGTCAGCGTTAACCCTTTGCGAACGAGGCCGGGGATTCCACGCGAGCCCAAACACATCATTAACACACGTTCCATCTGCCGTCACGTACTCGGCGGTTTGAGTGTTTCTGCTCTTTCCCGTCAGCATGTGAAGTTCATTTCACGTATACGGAGGAAATCCTGTGTATGGGCGTGGACAACAAATCACGCGAGTGCAGTCTGTCTTTCTTTGTACCCTGTTGTGGTAAACTCCTGATTCAGCTCGTTTCCTGAACAGCAAAGAAAACCACCAAACAAACGCTGTATGCTGTAAAACTGAAATTAAACACTGAACAGCTCGACTCGATTGCCACACGATGTCTTTATGTTCCAGCTGCTGTGTGGGTCCTGAAAAGGCGTAATTATACTGTACAACTCCTTATTGAAATTGACAAACACAGTGCCCTCAGTTTGTTGGGTGTAGACTGTTTGCCTTTGTGTAACCAGGGAAATGTTTGACAAGGAAACAGATATATGACTCCACCAAGGACACACACAGTAACTACAAACAGGAGCTCAGGAGAGAGAACACAAACTTGTTAAACACAACTCTCCTCACAAACGGACAGTTCAGTGATTTTTCCCCCCTACCATCCAGATGGTCGTTTATACCATATAGGGTTTGGGGATTACAGCAGGCTTAGAGGTTAAGCTAGAACATGTCAGTAGAACTGAACTAAACCCATTCATGCCTTTTTAAACTGCCTGACTAACCTGTATTTCATGTCACGGCAGCGACGGAGGTGAAGGCATTTGCTGGCATATGTTCTCGACTCATTTCTTGTTACTTCCACATGTCTAGGTTTACAACACCGAAATGTTTCACTGTGCATCTGATGTCAGGGGATATCACACGAAACTCATAACTCAGACAACAGCTTGTTTGGTGCTCAATAAATCCTCATCCTCCTTGTGAAGCCTCGCCGCTCAAACTTCCTTTCCACATAAACACACAAGCGTGCCCCGGCTCGGCTAAGCTGTAGAACAGCAGCTCTTAGCGGCCACACGCCACAGGTTACTACGCCCGACAATCACGTACGCATGCGTGACCCACTAACTTTTACTCCCTTTACCTCATTTGACTCCAGAACCTAGGAGAAGAAGGACGGCCCCCCCCTCGGCTCCTGAGCCAGCGCATCGGGTTCCTCCTCCTCCTCCTCCTCCCTCCTCCCCTCCCTGGTCTCTTGTATCTACACATGCCTGGCTCTGGCACCAATCAGCGGGCAGCGTGGGACGCTTTAAACTGAGAACGCCGCAACTTCATCACTGAGGCGCCAGCTCACCGGCACTTGGAGATAAAGCCGAAGTAGCTGCTTTAATACAGTCAGCTTCAGAGCGGGGCGACTCGGATGGGAAGACAGCTGCCTTAGACGGTGTCTAAGGCATCTTTATTCCACCTGGCGATGATATCAGGGCTAATATAATGAGCTCGTGTTCGCCGAAGAGAGCAGCAAATAGTAAAATGAAATCCTAGCGACACAGCGGTCACAATCACAGCTTTTCTGCGTAACAGGTATCAGTGGTTAATCCCATTCACACAAATACTTACACATATACTGTACATTCATAAAAAAAATCACCAGAGCGGAGTCACATTTGTAAATATGCGCGTGTGAACAGACATACATAGAAAGAGAAGAGAGGAAGTGGTCGCTACGTTGACTGACAACCATAGTTCTCCTCGTAATAGCCTCGCTGCACTGATGAACCAACAGCTGAGAACCAAGGCAACATGGACAGAGATCACACACACAGATAACACACAACAGTCACAGAAACACAAACCCACTGCCCTCTCTTACCTCAGCTGCCAGTTCAGGGTTCCCCGAGCAGCCTCGACTGTTGTCTTCAAAATAGTCCACCTTTACAGCCATTCAACAGAACGAGAGAGGGGGGAGCGAGAAGGAGACGGAGAGAGATGGGAGGGGGGAGAGAATAACAATCAATAGAATAATGCGACAAGGGCCTGTGTTCAAAAAGACTTCTCATTAAGGACAGCGCCAGGTACATGATGCACGCCTTTTCGCACACACAGTCTCCACCGTCACTCCTGTCATCCTCAGCAATCATCAGAAAGCGGCCGTGCACACAAATCTCCTTTCTTTGATTTGTGCTCAAACAGTGAGCCGGCACTTCCCTCTGCTGCTGGGACAGAGAACGAGAGACGGCAAAGCGAGATTCACTTTCAATTATAGAATTATGTAATGTCTGTATCCCGAACCCCTGGCGCAGCCTTCCTAATATATGCATCACACCGGTCTGCATAACCCAGTTTTTTAAAGGGTAAATTGGCAAAAACGTGCACAAGTGTCAGTGGACGGCTGAGAGTCAGATGGAATAGATGTTAATGGTTCATCAAGCAGGGCTGATTACTGTCAAACAATAGCATCTTTTTATTTGGCACAGCATGCCCCCTTGTCTACATGGTCCTGGTTGTCTCAATGTTAAATGATGTGTTTTGTCTCGAGCTGTTCCCCAGTCCCGCCAACCTCACCCCCCCCCACCACCACCACCCACCCCCTCTCCACCCACCCACCCACCTATCAATCCTAAAATAGTCTGGAGTGATGAATATTTACCCTGCAAGCCTCTGAGCTGCCTTGGTTTGTACTCCTCCGTCCGCTGGCCAAATCCCCATCAGAAGAGCTCCCTCTCGTCTTCACCTCTATCCCTTTCTTATCTCTTGCTCTCTCTCTCTCTCTCTACCTCTCCACTCTTCTTTCTCGGTCTCTCTCTCTCTCTCGTCTGTGTTCCAGCAGCCCATTCAGGAAGCCATCTTGTGTTTTTAATCTGGTTTTACATGAGCCCTCGTACGCACGTTCTCTCTCTCTCTCTCTCTCTCTCTCGCTTGCTCTCCTGCTCTCCCCCTCCCTCTCTCTCTCTCTCTCTCTCTCTCTCGCTCGCTCGCTCTCCTGCTCTACCCCCCTCCCTCTCTCTCTCTCTCTGCTAGTATGGCAATAGGTCTACCGCACACTCACACAAGGTTTTTTTTTCCTCTGTGATCGCTATCACTCCTTCCTCACACTCAATTTTTTTTTCTCTTCTCCTTCTGCATACATGATGTGAATGCCCTCTCAACCAAACCCCCCCCCCCCCCTCTCTCTCCAAACACATAGACTCATGAACAAATACACACACACACACACACACACACACACACACACACACAGCTCGCCGGAGAGACGTCACGCTACAGATAGCACACAAAGGCAGTCCGTCCACCAATCAGAGGCCAGGCTGGGCTCTGCTGCTAGGGTGAAATCGAAGGAGAGCAAGTGAGGGCGTAGAGAGAGAGAGAGAGAGAGAGAGAGAGAGAGAAATTGGAGCTAGTAAAAAGAGGTTAAAATAAAAAGGGAAAGGGTCTGTGAGTGTGTATTTGCCTGTGTGTGCAGCACCATAAAAGAAGGGCTGACATAAAGAAACAGAAAGAAGGTGGACGGGATGTGTGCATGTGTGTGTGCATGTGTGTGTGCATGTGTGTGTGTCGGTGGTGGGTGGGTGGGTGGATGAGTGAGGGGGGGTGGGTCCTCTCTATGCTTGTCAATTATCTCCTCGAACTCGCCTTCCCTAAACAATGCCTCTGGTATGTGGTATCTCTGAGCACCATCTGTGCAGGGCTGCCTGCAATAACTGGACTGGACTCACCACACGCACACGCACACACACACACACACAGTCACACACACATACACACACAGATCCTCTTAAACTGCCACCCTCTACCCCCCACCTGACAGGCAAAGCACACAATTACACAGCAAAGCCCGACATGCTGACTCAAAGCAAGTGAAACGAGCACAGAGAGTTTATAAGAGTAGTACACACTAAAGCTACGGACGCGCCATAAGCAAAGTTGTCACATCAAATCATCAGCTGTGACCACGTATACAAATCAGTGATCTGCAACGTGCGTACGTGCAAACACTACCAAAGCTGCCGGGGGTTTGCGTTTCCTTCACGCGCAGTCTGTGACATACCGAGCATATTTTGGAAGCCTGCGTTCATAATGTTTACATTCAGAGTGCGAAAGATCATTTCCAGCCTTTGCAAACCAGAGGGTTAGTGCACGTTCTTGCCAGACTGCTGGACATAACAACAAATCAGCAGCCGGGCAGCCTAGATGCATTTTTCTCTCTTATTTTTAAACAAAGCCTTCTTGCAAAACTGTCACCGATCAGCCTTTTGTGAAAAGGGAAGTTCAACAAACACAAATAGTGTGGCAAAGCGGTCTGCTCAGATATGAAAAACAGCAAAAGACGTGCAAGAGTGAAAAGGGGCTAATGAATATGTAACCGCCGGGAGGACGAGACAAAAGTCAGCGAAAGTTCAGGCAGGCTGGCGAAGACGCAAGGCGAGACGGGCGGACAGCGAGAGGCAGGCACGAGACACAGAGGGAGAATCGAAAAGAGAGAGGCAGCTGAAGTGTGGCGTGGTGAGGCGAGGCAGCCACACAGTGACACAGCATTTGTGGTGTCTGTCTGGCGCTCTCATATGGCATGGGAAATCCACTCTGCTGACGTCAGACGGGCCACGTGTGTGTGTCTGAATGCAAGTGTGTGAGTGTGTGTTTATGTGTGAGCAGAGGCGTGTTTGCAGAAAGCCGGACGGCGAGAGTGGCTGCAGTGGCTTTAGTGCGTTTCGGGTAGTTGTAGTACTCGAAGCGGTAGTCGTACTAACAGTAAGCGTTTCAGGGAAGGCAGCAGCATTAGCAAGAGTAACTTTGGTTATGACCGATGTATGACGAGCTGGTGGGAGAAATAATAATACGAGTTTAAGTAAATCATCTAACACTAATTGTTGGAATGGGGTAAAAGTACAACAAATAAAAAGGTATAGAGAAAGCAAAAAGGGAGTAAAACATCCTCTGCTACGTATTTATCTTACGCCAGGCACCACCTGTCAGTGGAGGCTCGTCAGAAACACGTACAGTGTCTTTGTGAAAGAAACTACTGCAGCATCAAGGGGAAGAAACCTCATCTAGAACATTCAGACTTTCGCAGCCTTCAACAAACTCCTGCCGATCACTGACGGAGCGTGATCGCACTCAGACGCAGATCCTACCCGCTCCTGCACAGCTTTATGATCCTGATGTACACACATGCCTTCAGCCACAAACGTCCTGTCTGTTGCTTTCATCTACTCACATTAAAAAAAGAGATCAGAGTCTCCGCAAACCTGCATCAAACGCTTCCACCTGCTCACCTTCACCTTCCTTTTCAAGTACACAGACACATTCACCACACACACAGACACAGACACAGGAGGGAGGCTCACTGCAGCCTTTTCTGATGGAAAGGAGAGGATGCTGGAGTTGTCTGCCTGCAATCAGACTAACTAGCTTAAATACTGGTATTAATTAAGCCAATCTGTCTTACTCTTTTTACTGACTTTACCATTGCGGTCACCTGTCTAAAGGGCTGCAACTGCAAAGAAAACTCTGAAGCCACACTAAGCACATAACTGTGAGGTTGTGTGAATGTACAGGCTCACGAGTGAAGCACATATTTCATGGCCATATTTGGTCTGTTGCACCAACGGTACATTAAACATATTACAGAGGTTAAAGCTGCTGCTCATATTCTCATTGAGCTTCAGAGCAGTTGTGCCAGGAGAAGATGGAGGACAGAGTTGCCAGGCAATAAGGAACTCAGCTGCTACATTCATACGGAGGTCAGCGCCCAGAGACGGAGGGATTGTGTGGGGGAGGGGTACTGATGGATGAATGGACACTTGGTTAAGATTTGTTTGCTGGGAAAACGCTTCGCCAAACTGCACGTCTCCTGATGCTGCAGCTCGCAGCACTCACCTCTGTCAGCGGAGACAGAGGATCAATAAAGATCTCTGATGGTAAATAGTGGTATTTTGGAATGAAGCTGTTAATCATTCTGTAACAATCCTGAACATCTGATTAAATATCAGTATCGACAGAGGCAGGGTGAGGCCACAAGGAGACTTGGCCTACCACTAGAGACTGTTGGGAACTATGATAAATAAGAAATATCTCACAATCTAGTAAAACAAACTGACTGAAAATCCCTTTTTGCCCATGTTACATTTGCACATTACTTATCTGACATACACAGAGCAGCCTGTAATGAGTGCAACAGATGAGTTTGCTCAAATATTATAAGCCTGCAACTGTGCAGTTAAATAAGGCTAAGATATGCTCCAATATTAAGACTCTAAAGCCACAGGTAGCAGCTCAGTGAGGCTGTGCTTTGAGCTGAATGCCAGTGTTCAGCTCAAACTTGAAAGGTCAGGGAATCAACATCTACACAAATCATCAGTTCAGTAGGATGTAGAGCTCCCTCAGAGGTCAGGCGTTTAGAAGTACGGAGGCTGTAAACTTATATTAACCCTCAGCACGCCTTGGGCCACCAAATAGTGACAATAGCCCACGTTTTTGTCCCATAAACCACTAAAACAATTTGTTTTTGTTGATTTAATACTGAATTCCTGTAAACTGCTTTTCAGGAGACCATTATGTGCTGCTGCTGCTGCCACTTTAGAAACCTCTTACCAGACAGAACAGTAGATAGAAGGCGAGTAAAATGGGCGATAAAGGTTTGGTTCAGTAGGATGTAGAGCTCCCTCAGAGGTCAGGCGTTTTGAAACCTTCTATTAACCCACAACAACAATAAGAGCTTGTGAAGACAACAATGGTTACAGTTAGGAAAGCTCTTGTCTCCCTCTCAGCTGCTGAAGTCACATGACCAAGACATGATCCTAAAATGTCACACTGTGATGTCCACTGTTTGCATTTGTGTGAATGACTATGTTTTATGCTCCTCCTTCTTCTTCTTTTTGTTATTACTATGTTTGTGAGTGTGACAAGCTCTTCCATTGCACAGTAGTCTAGTAAGAGGTATGTTATGTCCTTTATGTCTCTCTCTTTATTTCTTGGGCCACCAAATAGTGACAATAGCCCACAGTTTTGTCCCATAAACCACCAAAACAATTTGTTTTTGTTGATTTAATACTGAATTCCTGTAAACTATTCTCTCTTTGCAGGAGGCCCCATGTGTTGCTGCTGCCACTTTAGAAACCTCTTACCATATATAACTTGCATTTTCTTATGATAAATCTGCATTGTTACTTTGGAATAATTACAAATGATATCTCACATAAAGTTTGTTTAAAGTAATACTGCCTTTCAAAAACTATGGTACAACCCTATTAATATCATCTACCAGCTCCTTCTCCTGCGTCCACTCCTGGGTCACGCTTTCAAAGCACAGTCTGATTTTTCCAGCTGACCATTTACTTTCCGTCCTCCTACTTGACTTTACCGCCCTTCCCCCCCGTCTAAGACGCTGATGCATGTACAAACACACAGAGCCACACACACACACACACACACACACTCCAACGTGCGCTTCCATTAACACACAAGTGCACACTTTAAAAGAAAACATGCACTCTTTCTCTTTCTTCGCACACCCACCCACACACACACACAAATACAAACTGGCCTAAGGTTAACCCCCCCACACTCATTTTAAGCCTCAGAGGTCAAAGGACAAAGCCCAGGCAACTGCAGGAATTCTCCACTTCTTCTGTTTGGTAGCCCTCACGGTCTCTCAGCCATGCAAACACACACACTGTCCACTCACAGGCTGTTACAACAGACTTTTCACTGGTTTATCTTTAGAAGAACAGTTAAGCAGAATGTGAAACATCTGCATAAGAACATCTTCTTATCCTCAGCACACACGCGTACACTCAAGAGCTGCAGCTCTGTGTATTTTATAAAAGAAACTAAGGCTTATTAATAGGGACAGTTCTTTTCTTAATTGATGAATCTACTGGCTATTTTCTATTCACTTAGAAATAGCATATACTTACGCATATCACAATTTCCCAGAGCTCAAGCTGACGTCTGCAAATGTTTTGTCCAACAAACAGTCCTAAACCCAAAAAGGGTCTCAGAAAATCACCACGTTGGAGAAGCTAGAACTAATGTCAACACAGTTGGACATAAACTTTCTGACAAGAGGCAAATAGAGAAATCGATTCAGCTCTAAAAGAAACGCCATTCAATTGATTAGTACACAAGTGTTTCTAGTTAGTGTCAGGCAATCCCATCAACACATATAAACACTTCCACAACGCTTCAAACCACTAACTGTCACCGTCTCTTGCAGGTTTCTGTTAACAGCAGATATAACTGAGTGCTTTTAACCATGCTTTATAGTTAGATAATATCCTATTTGTTTTAGTAGAGTGTAATCAGTAATCGTTTAATCATGTTTGTAAAGCACACAGCGTTGCATCATTGTATGAAGTGTGCTCTATCAGTACAGTATATTTGAGTTGGCAGGACAATCACCTCCATCAGTTCCTGCTCTGTTAAACAGTAGTTAATGTTCACAAGCAGAGGCAGAGGAGTCGCCACGAGGAGAGTAAAACATTAAACGGCGGAGTTGTTTTAGATTTATGTCTTAGTGCCACATCTGTTCGCATCTTAGTGTGTGTCATTTGCAATTTGGGTAAGTGCTATATAACATACTCTACATGCAATTTGAATTTATGACATGTGCAACTTGCTAGCCCTCTACCCTCAGCCTGAGGAGAAGCATGTCTAGGCCTGACAGATAAGGAATGCAGTAGCACCAGCAGCTTCAAAAGCTTCATGCTATTTGTCTGAATGGACATCTCAAACAACGTGTTTGTCGTGTCTGTAGCAGTCTGTAAGGAAAGTACTGCAGCAAGCGGGTGGAGGCATACTGCTCCCCTTCTAGCCTTCCGCTCAACTACCTTGAGCGCGGCACTACAGCGCCATACCCGCAACTGAAAGCAGAATACGCTTCTACCGAGAAAACCCCCAGTGTGAGTGTGTTGTGGAGTTCAGAAAACTGAACTTCAATAAACTTCCCACATTGCTCTCTACATTATGCTCAGTGATGATCAGACAGACATAAGAACAAACTAACTTTCTGCTCTCTGAATGCTCCTATGAGACAGTAATAAGCAGGTACTGAGAATGGTTGTATAGATAAATGCATGCTTTTGTTTAAAGAGAGGTGCTGAGCAAACAGCCCTGAATACTGATATTTTTTAACCTTTTTTTTGTGCCTAATATTTGATCATTTCCCTTCAAAGACAATATGGGCTTTGTGATCCCAATACTTTTTTGTATCTTTATTACCCGGGTCCTCTTTTCACATATGTTGGTGTCAAAATGACTAGTAGGTACAAAAGATTTTGGTATCTGTAGATGTTTCAGCGGGCAGCTGTGAACCGGCAGCAGCGGCTGCAATGTATTCCTTCTGACGTCTTTTTGCCAGCGACAGGCTCAGACTGTTACATCAGGTTTCGGACAACATCGTGGAAAGGATCCCTACGAGTTAAACCCGGTGACACCCTTTGTTTTTAACAGGAAACAGAAGTCTCGCTCAAGGACAATTCTCGGAGAGAAGAGTTTGTTTTGTGGAGTAACGTTAGGAAATAAAGTCTTGCTAGCAGTTCCACAACAAGCTCCGCTCCCTTGCTTCCACCGGCGTTTCCTGCAACAACTTGCCCCTCACGAGATTTCAGAGCGAGAATTGTCCTGTCTGCTAATCATTCTGACCCCAAAATATGTGAAAATAAAACCCAGGTTTAAAAATACCGGAATGATAAAATTGGTACTAACACAGTATAACAATAACAATAACAAGTAATACTATCAGACAACAAACATATCTGTACCTCGCTCACATCCCACTCGTTCCGTCTCTTCTTCAGTTGTTCACATTTGCGCAGCCTGCAGATCTGCTTGCCCGTCTTGCGGTTCATACAGTTTGCGCAGGTACCACAGTTCTCTTTGCGGAGGCAGGGAGTGCAGGCACCACATTTCTTCCTCCGTTTTTTCTGGAGGTCAACGGCAGCGTCCAGGGAGGCATCGAAGGGAGACAGAGAGAACAGCCCTGCTTGCTGGTGTTCAGTCTCAATATATTTGCTCAGAGGAGATGTCTTCTCTAAGGACTTCCTGTGCAAGTAGACAGACTGAGCTTCTGCCGCGTCCATAGAGAATTCATAAACGTCCTCAGGTGGCGGGCCAGGCCCCGCCCTTGGCCTGGGCATGGTGACTGTCCTGCCTTATGACTATTCTGTCTCTTAATTGGGGGGATTGAAAAACACAGTTGAACACAAAAAAGCAGTTTAAAATCAACACCAGATACCATCCAAGTGTGCCATCAGTAAGTTTGTCCGGTCTCAGCAACAGTTTGGCTGGCGTATAACTTGTCTTGGATCAGTCTTTGCTGTTGACTTTGTCTATCTAGTTGGAGTCCCCTCAACTTGAGTGAGCTGTTGCGAAAAAAGTTAGCGTAACGTTCACCTCGTCTTCTAGTCTGAACCCTCCAGGGACAACTTCCTCATTATATCGTGTTCTTGGTCACCCGGGTGGCCCTGGAGAATCAGGATGGTAACTTCCAGTATGGGGTCCATCTTTCCCGGCTAGCCTGAGGGATGGCTGGCGGTCCACCACAGTCTGGGCAGTGTAGCTGGAGCGTGGGGAGTCATGGCAGTGTCTGACCAGCCTGGGTACAGTCTGGGAGTGTGCAGAGAGAGCAAAGACAAAGAGGGATAAGACAGAACAGTTTAAGATAACGCAAGAATGTGAAAAAAAGAAACAAATATTCATACAAATCTCTTTTGTAGCCTTGTAGTGGGGACTGAGTGTTAATGTCTTAAGGTAGATGTCTACAGTAAATCTCTCCAACTGTTCTTGTAGCAGACAAAATTCAATCAATCTCATTTCAGCTGGACCAGGATATACTGTCAAATCAACTTCAGTGAACTCTGACATGCGATTTTGCATGACTAACTGCAAAACAAAGAGAATCTGAGAGTCCCAAAAGGGAGGAAGCTATAATATTAGCCATGCACCACCAAGGCATGTGTCTAATCCACTGCGCTATCACCACCCTTTCCTCTTCATTTCCATTTTTTTCCACAAACAAAACTGGCCACAACCCAAAATAACCACGGAAAGCCGTCACAGACATTCAGCTTCCTGCGCCGCTAATCTTGTGAGGACATGCAAAAACTTCCTGGTGTCACATCTGTGAAGATTCTCAGTCATCTGGGTCATAAGAGATCCAAGGTGGGTTCAAACCAAGGGCAACTGGACTTATTGAAGATACACTGAAAGCGCTCGTCTTCGAGTTTCTTCAACCAGGTCCAGCCGCCCTTGGTTTTACCCCTCCTTGGATTCCTAGTGTGACTGGACACGAAGGCATTTGTGTGTGTCTGTGGAAAACTAAATAAATGTGTATTTAATGGTGATTTCTAGATTATGTGCAAATTTATATTATACTCGTCAAATAAATATGTCTGGTTGTGGGGTTGGTACGATATGCGTATCCTACCGCACCGCAGGCCTCAGGGTAAGTGGCCATTGTTCTAAAACTGTGTGACTAAGAAAGTTTGATAAGATAGGGAGCAACTATGGTCCAGAATGCAGTACCATAGGTTCTCCCAGCATGTAACCTATACGTACAGCCCATCAGACTGTGCTTTAATCATGCTGTAGGTGCCTAAAGCAACAGGCATAAGGTCAACTAAGAAAGAAAGATGAATACATGTAAAAACCAATAGCTTTTCATATTACATTTATCACACTGACCAAATATTATCTTGTCAGGTGCCACTTCATGACCCTGCATGTACTTTATTAGTTGGTATAATTGACTGTGTAGCATTTGGTAATACTACTAGATGCTTTCCTCTGAATTATCGTTCGGTCTGACACCCCTGGTTGCTGTCTGGATACTGTCTGGTTTCCAAACACAGCTGTCAGTGGCGTGCATCCAGTTGGCTCACAGCCACACAGGCCTACGTGAGCAGGTTGAGAAGATGCTGCGTTTTAATGGCAAAGCCCACATGGATGGGAGCGGGGGCTTATGTGTCCCTGAATGAAAGACGGGGTGGGGGATAAGTTGATGGCAGGGACAGTGCTCTTTGTCTTGCGGTCACACGCTCCAGTCAACCGTCAATAAAGTGAATTGTGCTGAGAAAATGCAATGTTTCTGTGCTTTTGACTGGTTTCACAGCCTGTACTGAACATGTTTTTCTACGAAGTCAACAGCAATGCAGTCGAGGCTAAAAGCCCCCTAAATTAGATTTACCATCAAGTATTTAGGCTCTACTTTAACATTACTAAGTGATCAGTGGTCGTTCAAGGCGGGAAAATCACAAAATGGCTTTTTTTTATTGCGATAAAAAAAGATTGTTACTAAATTTGTGTTTGTGGTTGTTTTGTTTTCTGGCACAAAACCAACTGCAACTTTGTATAAATAATAAAAGAGTTGTTCAGTAACAAAGTATAACTGTGAAAAACACTTGGACTTAACCAGTTATTTAAAAGAACACCCACATTTTTGTCACATTATTTACAGCATTTAGCTTTAGCAGAATATCACTGTTGCTTCACCGCAAATGATTTTTGTACATGTAGGCAACCAAACTTCTTCTTAGTTTGGATGGTGTAGCCTCATGTTTGGAGTATTTGGTGTGAGGATGAAACCAGCAGTTCCTACACCTGTCCACTTTGAAGCTTTAGCGCAGAGTTAAGGCAAAGCTACAGGTAAAGTTAGCTTGATGGCCAGTGTGCCTCAATAGAAACAGAAGAGTAAATAAAATCGGGCGCCACTTTATATATTATTATAATAACACTGAATGCAGGACACTCAGGTGTCTTGGTTTTCCCTCCACTACTTGGCTAAAACTGTGACTACTGCAACATCATGCATCAGATAACCAACGACAACGCTGCAGGGACATTACATTTAGATTAGCTCCACATCAATGCATTTATTTTGCTTTGCTTTTAAAGGACAGATGTGCAGTTGCATCGCAGTAACAGCAGCACGCGCTCTGCCGACTCCGCACGTGGTTCAGCTAATCAACACTTTCCGTGGCGGGACCCCGGCGGCCCCGCGGTCTGCCACTGTTGTTACTGTTACTGTATGTCCACGTGGGGACCGACGGGGGGGGGGAGTAAACCAGCCCTGCGGGGAGCCCGGCCCTGTCAGCCCACTCCAATCAAAGCGATCAGATAAAAACAAGCATCCTTAGATTTACATTAAGATAATGCTCATTATCTGCAGCAGGATACACAAAACACATGAGGGCCCCCGAGTGGGGACACTGGGCTAATTACTGTAGGTGACAAAAACAGCACTTTCCCCGGCGCCAACACACATTTTCATTTACATCCACGTGACAGTCCCACTCTGTTGCAAAGCTAAACAGAAGTCTCACTATATTTGAGTAAAAGCATTAATCACGACACCTATAAATACCTTAACGCATCTTCAAGCTGTCTGATATTTCAACTTTATCTAAATAACGCAGCTCTGAAACTTCTTATTACGCGCAGTTCTGCAAGCAAACACATATTAGTGGGTTTACTAATTAGTTATTAGCCACCACTGCATCCATGCATGCACAGGGGAAGAGTTCACAATGAGGAGAGAGAGAGAACCTACCACCCCGCGATGAATGGCTCTTTAAATGCCTGCAGATTCATCTGAACGGCAGCCTTCAAAAGCAAAGGGAAAAATAAAGTTCAGAAGCTCTTGGACAGCAAAATAAAAGTATGTGCGAGCTAAAAATGCGCACACAAAATATTGTTGTTTTTTTTAACTTCAAAAAATTATACACACATGGGGAAAGGGAGGGAAAAGTTCAAGCCTGGTGACATAAGTGACTTCAAGCTGCTGTCTGGTCGACGGTAAGAACGAGAGAGAGAGAGAGGTTTAGGTTGTGTCTATAGGGGGGGGGTTAAAGTCATCAGTAAATTATGGAGTGGAGTCCTGCCAGCTGGAGCAAGGCAGGGAGGGTGACATCATACAATGGGGACGTGGGGGTTAAAAGTGGCCCCGGTGATGTGGAGTTTCAGAGGCATTTTCTAAGGTCACAAACTCTCCTGTTGATGCTGTGATGCCATTTAAAGTGGTAGCTTTAATGTCAAAGTATAGGTTGTGATCAGAGTCATGTGATGTCATGAGTTAAAACCAGATGTTGTGACATCATAAGGGCGTAGAGGGTCAGTGCCCCCCCCCCCCCCCCTCCTCCTCCTCCTCCTCCCCTCCTGGACACATTTGGCCTGTTGCTCTGTTCAGATGAAGCGCAGCAGTGGCCCCAGCTGACAGAGTTCAGCTATCTCCTTATGATCCACACACACCACCCTCAGCTGCAGAGAGGTGGTGAAAGGGAGGGAGGTTTCGATAAAGACATGCTTCAAATCCCTCAAGACAAAAATAAATTCCACTGGCCGAACAATATCTTGTTAAATGACTGCAAATACGCAGCGCTGGAAGTTATGGTGGAAAATGTAAATCAGACGCAGGGACTCCACTCCATGCATCGTAACGCGGAGGACTGCACCGATTTACTGCATATGAAGTTTTAAAACGGAACAGAAACCTTTGTGGTTTCATTCTGCCCATTATTCTGGCTGTACCCTGCAGATGGTTGCGTGTAATCAAACTTCTCAGATGGGAGTCCCCCGAGTTCACAAAGTAATCTGACTGAGGTATTTGAGGTTCTGTCACATGAAAACATTTGTGCGTTTCACTGGGAAATCAGTGAATGAAAGTGACCAATGTTAGTTAATACATTATTATTATTTTATCAAAAGGAGATCACGTACGTGTGCGGTTTGGTTAAAGAGAGTTCAGAGATACAGTAGTTTGGGGGAAACTAGTCTGACGTTATGTCTAACAGCTACTGTTGAGTGTCTGTCTGCCCATAATCCCATGTCTGAGGGGAGGACTTTGAAAACTCCTAGGGTAACGCATCTCACCATGTCTCTGTGTACATTTACATAAGTACTACGTTACATATTACATTAGCATATGCCTAAAAACTGCAACAATACACATCTGTTGAAATATTGGGAACTGAAATGAACAGGACAGTATGACACATTGAATAATCATTGTTAACGCTCAGTTATAACACATCACATCTTTATTTTTACACCGTTATAACACTCCATTGGAGGCTGTTTAACAAACACACACAAAATGCAAACCGTCACCGTTCCCTCAGGAGGTAGTTGGCCATTACACCGGAACACATAACTGAATATATTCTTTTTAATTTGAGTTTTTAAATAGATAATTATACTGTTTCTGCAGTGAGAATTTGGATCACAGCGTTCAGCACCAAACTGACAGGAGCAAAAATCTTTTTCTATATGTTGAGAACAAAAAAAAGGAGGAGGAAATTACTGTTTGGTCATAATCGGGTTAAATAACAAGCAGCTGTAGAGTTAACACGTTTAAGAATTTAATGCCAGTATGCAGAAATGGGAATCATTTTACACACGACATGACATTAGCACACAGATCCTTTGTTTTGTTTCATAAATAATAATTCAAGTTGACAACAACAGGTGAGCCATGTACCTGAAATTCTCCCAGAAACCTTTGTGGTAATAAAACAGCTTCAGTCACTCAGCATCCATCTCACAATCATCAC